GTGTCAATATGTCATATGTCAGGTATCAATCCATATCCATTGTGATTTAGGAATGTTAAGTGATTTCTGCCCTTTATGGATTAAGACCAGACTCTGCATCAACTGTAATTTTCCATGGGAGTTTTGCCATGGATCCCCCTCCGGCATGCCACAGTCCAGGTGTTAGTCCCCTTGAAACAACTTTTCCATCACTATTGTGGCCAGAAAGAGTCCCTGTGTGTTTTCAAATTCGCCTGCCCATTGAAGTCAATGGCGGTTCGGGCGGTTCGCCGGTTCGCGAACATTTGCGGAAGTTCGCGTTCGCCGTTCGCGAACCGAAAATTTCGGGTTCGCGACATCACTACACCTAATATGTTGCTCAGCTATGTCCTCTTAGTGCAACAATACCCCCATGTGTACTTTTTTTCAGGGTTTTGTGGATGTTGAAGGGGCACATTGGTGACACACCACTTTCATATTTTTCAAAAGTGGATGCTGGGCCCAAGTGTCCTTTTAGCAGCTCAGGACTGCAAATTACCTCTCAAAGGCCACATATATTTTTAAGTATAAGCAGGTCATCAATTCAAATTATGAACAAGTGCATACTATTTGCTGTGAAAAGGGGGAATAGTTTGTGTAAACTTATCTGGGGGTAGTACCCAGTAATCTGCGTCACGGGCAATGCTGTCACGGATTCTGAAACAAAAACACAGACAGATCACAAAGAGAGAGAACACGGAGAGAGACACTTATAATACCGGTCCTTAGAATGGCCGGGCTATACGAGCAGAGAATAGTCAAGGTACAAGCCGAGGTCAAAGGAGTAAAGAGAAACGGAACAACGATAGGACAAGCCGAGGTCAAGGATCAGAGAAGACAGGATAAACGGGAGACAAAGCCAAGATTCGGTAACCAGACAGTTGACTAAAATCAGACCCCAAAACTGGTCTGCTTATTCGGCCTGGGTGTGGAAAATTTTAAAACAGTGGCCAATACATAGGCCGGGCTGAGAGAGGCAATCAGGGCAGTAGTAACTGGTCTCAGCTCTTACGCCCCTCTTGTAACACACCCTTCACCTTTTCTGGGGGTTGATGGAATCTTGAAGCAGAAGTGACCTGCCTCCATTCATCTGTGGCACTCAAGTAACCCAGAAATGAGCTGAAATTGAAATGAAAGGAATGTGCATTTCAGCTCAGCATTTGCCTTTTTAAAAATGATAATGGCATTGTGGACTGCCATCTGCATTATATATATACCCACTTTTTTATGCCATGCCCTGGTCTTGCGCATGATTAAATACGGCTGCATTAGTTGATCGGACAGGTCAACTCCCCCCATATGCCGAATATATTGCTGTATGCAGACTTGCACGTTTACATTCCTCTCTGCCACGAACTGCGACCCTGCGAGTGTTTTCACTATGGATGGTAGTTAGGATGAAAAACTCCTTTTTATCGCGGTACTTGAATGCCAGCAGTTCATTCTGGCAGAGAGCTTTTTCCCCCTTTTTTAATTTTTTTTTCCGCTAGAGCCTTTGGGAAACCTGTGCGACTCTTCCTGATTGTGCCACAGGCCATGGTCTCAAAGCAGTACAGCATTTTTAAAAGTGGGATGCTGTTTTAAAAGTTATCGATGTATAAGTGATAGTGACCGTAGTTGAGTAAGGGCATTATTAAGTCCCAGACAATTTTCTCACTTCTCCCTATTATATCTGGGCAACCTGGGGAATCAAGGTGGCTATCCCTTCCTTCGTATACACGGAAGGTGTATACGTAGCCACTGCCACTTTCACATAATTTATAAAATGTAATCCCATACCGGGATCTTTTGGATGGGATGTACTGTCCCAGTCTTCCCTTATATTTCATGAGGGACTCATCAATTGAAATTAGTTTTTTGGGGGTGTAAATAGTGGCAAATTGTTCATTAAAGTGGGAAATTAGAGGGCGTATTTTATAAAGAATATCATACTGCGGATGACCTTTTGGAGGGCACTTCATATTGTCACTAAAGTGCATAAATCGCAGTAAGTCCTCTTTCCCTATGCATTGTCTGGGAAAAAATGGGGGTATTACAAATAGGATTTTTAGCCCAATACATCCTAATTGTGGGCTTTTTAACGATCCCCATTAACATGGTCATTGCCCAGAATTGTTTAATTTCTGGCACACTGGTTAGGTACCATCTCTCTTTCCTGGCGATTAGAGAGTCTTGGTTGCATGCAAGATACTGCTCCGCATACAGATTCGTCTGGGTAACTACCTCCCCCAAAAAATTATCCCCCAAAAACAGCTCTATACAATCCAGCGCATTATAGCTAGACAGGTCAGCCTGTATGCCAGGATTGGCAGTGAACTCTGGGATGTCTGGCGAAAAATGTTAAGGGAGTACCCAGTCATCTGCGCCATGTTCAACATTGGGGGAATCAGCAATTTCCCCTGATGGTCCTGCAGTATGTGGCACATAGTCCCTGTCCCCTGAGT